GGAAGGAGTTGTACAAGGAGTTGGTCCTTGTTTCTTTTTTGTTGTTGTTAATTAGCTATGTTTTACAATATATTTTCTTTAAAAGAGACAGCATGAATCATGGAATAATATAAGGAATTTTGTACAATAATATAAACTTGAGCTATAAGAATCATAATAAATATTCATTATCACAATATACTATGTGGTATAGTGTTATAGACTGCTCTGCCCATTTCATACTTTTCGCTTGATGAATCCAGCACAAGCAGTAAGTTCTTCAGCTCACTAGCTCTTAAAAGCATGGAGTTGCAACAGTGGTGAAGGAGTGTGTCTTCAATGCCCAAGTCAAGTCAAACCTCAGAAATAACTGCTTCTTTACCACCAATTCACTGGCATCCAGACTTTCCCTCTAAAATTTGTGAGGATGAAATACGTATATCAGCACATAGATGGCTGCAAAGAATCAGTGTCTCCTTTATACATAGTTGCTGCAACAATATACATATACAAAACTCTAGGGCTTGTGAAAACCTTCTGGGTACCGAAGAAATATGGGACAAGAAGAAAAAGGAAGAAAAGGAGAGGAAAGGAGAAGAAGGGAGAGGAGAGCTTGGTCAAAGACAGGATTCGAAAAGACTTTTCATTTGTTTTATGTCTATTAGTGTCATGAGTTTGCCTGTGTTGCATACATTATGTCTTTATTATAACTCTGGAGGTAATCTGAATCGCCCTCACTTCTCAGAAAAGGAAATCTAGGGGCCAGCCCAGTGGGGCAGCGGTTAAGTTCGCACATTCCGCTTCTACTTGGCCCGGGGTTCACCGGTTCGGATCCCAGCTGCGGACATGGCACTGCATAGCATGCCATGCTGTGGTAGGCGTCCCACATATAAAGTAGAGGAAGATGGGCACGGATGTTAGCTCAGGGCCAGCCTTCCTCAGAAAAAAGAGGAGGATTGGCAGTAGTTAGCTCAGGGCTAATCTTCCTCAAAAAAAAAAAAAGAAGAAAAGGAAATCTATGCTCGAAGAAGTGAAGTAAGCTTATACTACTAAAAAGTGTCAACCCCAGGACTTGATCCTAGGTCTCCATGATTTTAAAAACACTCGTTCTCTTTCATCCCATCTTATTACCTCTCTTGCCAAGAGAACACTTCTTTGATGTGCACTTTAATTGTTTAGGTTTAGATAAAGTGTATCTGGTGGCAAGAAGACAGAAGTCTTATCAGTGATCTCTACCATTGAACCAGAATGACATTTATTCTTCTTCGCATCCAAAGAGAGACTGGATGTAGGAGACGGAAGAGGCAGATGAGAATCCTGTGATTTGGCTATGAGCTAAACATAGCACCTATTTCCTAATCCCCTTTCCTAGACCCCTCCATCACCTTGGACAGTGTGTGGAGTGGGCAAATACATTGAATATGGTATACCGCTACTCAACAAATAGAATACAGTAGTTCCACCTTTTCATTTCAGCATAGATGCCTGTGCTAAATGTTAAAACATACACATCAGATCCTCCTGCCTTTTTCCTCTCTTGAAGCAACTATCTCTACAGAGTCAAGTCTCTGTGACAAGCTTAGCAGTTCCTTGAGGGGGCAAGTGGACAGTCTAGTAGTTAAATACAAGGGCTTTGGCATCGCATCTGGGTTCAAGTTCAGGCTCCATCATTTATGTGGCCTTGGAAGGGCAAGTTAGTTTACTTCTCTGATCTTTTTGTGGTTTCTTAATCTCTAAAATGGGGATAATAATATCTCATGCAGTTGGTATGAAAATTAAACAAAATGGTATGCATAAAGTTCCTAGCATGATGCCTAAGACAGAATGACAGTATATTTTCCTTGAATTATTGCTTTGATCTAGCTCAATGAACTGTCAAGTAGACAAATTACAGTACTTTGAGGTAGCTTGAAGGTCTACGGAATCATTCTGATGGCTTCCATTTGCTACAGGGACATTTATCTAGAGGAAAAGAAGCTGTTCAAAACAGCTGAGAGTTTTCTCAAGAGACCTGAGCTGTTCAGGTTGTCCCCAATTTTTTTCCTATGTCCTAAGTCCAGTACAAACAAAATTGCAGCCTATTAAATACTGTTGAATATTTAGTATGCAATATAGCCAATAAATTCATTTTAGGTCCATTTTGTGATACTTCAGTGTGGTATTGTATCGTCAGATGCATATATAAAATATTGTTTAATGAATGTGCAAGGTGATTTATGAGGATTTTAAAGAGTTTGGACCCCAATTTTGAGAAATTTACACCATGGTAGAATTTTATAGTGTTATAGCTACACTTTTACAGCACATTGCTGAATCTATAGGATTTATTTAACACCGAGATCTTGGTGAAGAGTACAACCTTCAAGAATAACTTTAAACTTTAAATGATCTACTCTTTGTCCTGCACTGTAGCAAAGAGCGTGGACAGCCTGTGTGTTTCACTATTTCCTCTGTCAAAAGCACAACTACCACCTGCACCCAACCTATTACTGCCCCCACCAATCTGTTCCACTTCTTAAGCATTGACAGTCGAAAAGAAAATTGACGAACTTAATGAAGTTAAGTTATTCATACATCTGCTGAGACAGTACTGTGAATTACCATGAAGATGAAATACCTGTGCCAAAAAGCAAGCTATAGAGGATACAGCGGTGACTCTAGGTGAGACTACAGGAGACTTCAAATCCCACTTCCACCGCTAATTAGCAGAGTGGAGTTGAATGAATTAACCTCTCTAGGCCTCAATTTCTACATCTACAAAATCTAAACAGATTAAAAACAGTGAATTTCATTAGCTTAGCTTATATCTTTTGATTAGATAGTGTTTTGTCTGATATATAAAAACACTCAACAGACAGTAGCTACTCTATGCTAGGATACAAACAATTCATTTTCACCTTATAATTCCACCCCTATTGCTGATTCCTCTTCTTTAAAAATCTATATATTTTTCCTTTTCATTCTCAATCCTACTTGTGTTTATAAAACCTCCTTGCATTCTTTGTGGAAGGAAGACTAGGTATTAGGGAAAAAAAAAAAACCACACACAAATAAGGACATAATATCTTTCTATTTCTTTCTTCAAATAAAACATTTCTAAAATAAGTTTTGATCTTGTGAAATGTATGTGTGGTGGTCGATGATTGGTACTTTCTAACCTGAAAAAGCGTGGTGTCCTTAGGAGGGTTGTAGGAGTGTCCTGATGAAACATAGTCAGGCACCTTTGCCTCCAAACCTCCTTTCCCAGCCAAGATGAAAAATGTGGGTTCAATATTTCCACTCTAACTGACTCATTTGGCAGGAAAAGAAGTCCAGATGCCAAGAGGAATTAAAAAAAAAAACAAAAAAACGGAGGAAAAAGGCACAGGAAGGAGGAGGGGAAAGTAGGAGGAGCATGTCATATTCCATCAAGTTATAGAAAAACCAATCCCGAGGATTAACAAGGAGGATGCCTTGACCTTCACAGCTAAAATCAGGGCCCAGGAAATACACCACTTCTTAAAATACACTTCACACCAAAGAGTGTTAAGAACCAAAGTGGTTTTTTACAGAACTACTGTGCTATAATTCAGTATTTTTTTACAATTGTCTACAAGATAGTAACAAAAAATATATGCCAACCTATGCAAGAGTGTCAAGGGTAAAATATTCACCTTCAAATATACTAACAGACCCAAAGTTCTACTTTAATTGGACTACTGCCAAAAATAATCAGAGTGTGATTACACAAGTGCATGTGTATGCCCAAACTCATCAAATTTTATACATTAATTATGTGCAGCTTTTGTATACCACTTATATCCCAATAAAGCTAGGGAAAAAAAGAAAAATAACCAGAGTAATTATTTGATAATTTAATAATATGAAACAACTAGCATATTTTAATCTTTTTCAAAGCATCTTACAAGTTTTAGCTAATTTATTCCATAATAATTGCTAAAGATAGATTCACTATTTCTTACAGCTCCTGCGATTTTTGTAAATGTCCAATGAAAATATTTAATCACCATAGTCCATACAACTTTAGATTTTTCACCCTTCTTGTTTTGACTATTCTGAAATACATTACCTATGCCCAGAATGCACAAAAGTGACAACGGACAGCATATTGTTCCAGCTATCTACAGTCTTTATTATTCACCAAAGTATCTCTCAAATACACTGTCTTTAACACTTTTATAGGGAAGATAAATGATGAAATGAGGGCTGAGTATCTAGAAAGTCGATGTCAAAGAAGAATTAAAAGATATGGGGTATATCACACCATTTAGTTAGTTAAAAAATGATTATTCAGCACCAACGAAGTACAAGGCATTCTGCTAAAAATGCAGGGTGAGAAACCAAGTGTACCTGGAGTTCACCATATACTGGAAGCAAGATTCAGGCACACTAATGAAAACAATTGTGTATCATAAACTTTATGATGGACATACCAGTTATGGAAACACAGGAAAATTCCTAATTATTGCTGGGTTTCACTATTTTTCCTCTGTAAAGTGAGAGAGTTGTCTTAGTCCTTTAGGTCTCTTCTAAATTTAATATTTTGTGATAATAAGCTTATAAAAATACTTATTTCACTTTTTTTTAGCAGAGAGCTGGAAGACTTTTGTCTTTAATAAGTTAGGTACTTTTGCCAGAGAAGGCAAAAGCTTTTGAACAAATGCCTTGGTTCAGTAGGACAAAGATAGTCTCACTGATTAGCATCTGAGAAAGCAGAAAATCATTAGCTAAAAAAAAGAAAGTGGCTTTTAATCTGATTTCTCCTGGTTGATCTTGCATACCTAGAATGGGCATGATTGATACTAACATCCTTTTTCTGGGATTATTATTTTGTTTGACTAACAAATGTATCAAATACATTTGATAAAAGTTTTGTAAGTTGTCACCATCACACTCCAATTTTCATAAAGTGATTAGGTATGAAATCTCAGTTAACTAAAGAGAAAAATACATAGTAAAACATTATGGCATGTATTAGTTACGGCTGCCCTAGGCGAAATGAAGTTTCACTTTTAACGTACCTTCTTTCCTGTCACTTGGCCTCACATTTCTGTGATATGCAGACCTGGGAGAGTTGCAAAGATTAAATAAGGTAAGATTAAGTGACACATGTAAAGCCATTCAGTAAATAATAGCTCTTGTTACCATTGCTATGATTACGAACATTATTTATGCATTTTACTTTTTCTGCCATTCCTCACTCTCAAAGGTGGGTCCTACATGTAAAGCTTCCCAAAGTATGGTATGTGTTGTGCTGAGAGCACTTGAGAAGATCTGGGGATGCAAACAGACCAAAAAAACATTTAACTTAGTAGTCATATATTTAAATTAAAATATATTTGAAAATTGTATACCTAGCATATCAACCTGGTGATTCAACAGATACTATTGTTATTAAATAAATTTAAGTTAAAAATAGCAGTATATTTGCAGAAGCACAACAGTACAGGTGGCATGTAAATATAGGAAAAATGATGAAGATGGTACATGAACAGCTGAAGTTTGGGGAACAATTAAATAAAGCATAAACAGCTACTTTCACCATCTAAGGAGTGGGGAAGTGGCGTCACATTTTGAAAGAGGCAACTCTCTCACCTACTAGCTTACATATAAATTCCTTCAGGGAAAACTCAGTCTTCATCAAGGTCAATATATTCATGCAAGCTCAACAACTGATTCGAAGATCATCAAAACAATGCGTGTGTGTGTGTGTGTGTGTGTGTGTGTGTAGGTGTGAAAGTCTTCAATCAGAATATTTCCCTTATCCAGAGAGTTCTTGATGAAGAAAAAAAAATCTTATAAAGGCAGTGAATATGGAAAAGGCTTAAATTGTAATTCATACCCTATTCAACACCAATGATTTCTTACTATAGAGGAAAACCTATAAATATGAGGCTATCTTTACCAGTGTTTAAAATGCATGAATTAAAAACAAAAAACTCTCAAATTATTAATGTTTGTGGGGAAACATTTAGACAATCACCCTTCACAACATTGGAAAAGTCAAGCACAATTTAGCACTCAATAAATTTTTGTTAAATGAATAATTGATGTGGATATTATACCTACAAACAACCTAAAGCTTCATGATCTCTTAAAGTGTAGATCTGATAGCCCCTTACAATTGTGGGGGGAAGGGAGCTAAAAATTAAAAGAAACAGATGGAACTACCGTTCCTGTACAAACAGTGTTGTAACAGTGTTACAATGATGGCTTATTAATAGAAATGTCATAAAACTGTATTGTAAATAGATGTTCAAAGCATGTATACATTTCATAAGCAAGGCAACACATTACCTAACCATATATATTAAAGATGTAAGTGATCAGGAGAGTTTAAGCATAGTCATTCTTGTATGCTTGTGTGACAAAAGAGTCAGAATTCAGGGACTTTTGCTGAAATACAGGGGCTTTTTGAGAAGTAAGCTCAGTGACATCTGTCTTGTTTTCTTTAATGATAAGGCCAAGGTGAATATTATGGTCAAGTTTTTTTATCTTAATACTGGGTCTGAGTACTTGTGAGACAACGTCTTGTAGACACTCAAAGACGGTGTGGATTGAGCCCCTGGAGAGCTCTGCCTCCAGCAGCAGCCCTGCAGTGGTGGCCGTTGGGCAGGGTGGAGTCGGTCTACCACAGGGAGGGTGGGGTTGACTCTGAACTCACAGTGAAACTGACGAACTGGTCTTGACGCATTCATTAATTTCATGTGTTGAAATCTCTAAATACATTTCTATGCCATACCTTTCCAGAGAGCACGTGTGCACTTTCTGCTTTTCAAAGACAGAAATAATAAAGATTTGGATTACTGAGCTCTGTGGATTGGAACATTTTTCACTGAGTATTATAATTATGCATTTATACATTCTTGAATGCAGGAAATGTCTGGTTCATTGTATTTCCAGAGCCCAGGTCAGTGTCTGACACATTATAGGTATTCAGTAAATATTTTTTGAATAAATGAATTTATAAATGAATGCTTTAGTCCCTAGATAGTTGGCAGAAGAAGGGATTTGAGAGAAAATAGGAAAGAGAACTTCTGAGACCCACTTATTTCATGGCCTCTTCTGCCTGCCCAGCCCAGCACCGAGAGAGCCAAGCAGTGATCTCACCCGGAGAACCTGCTGGGCTAGTCGAGTCAATGAGCAAGGTGAGTCCTGCCACTCATGTCAAACAGTAAACTTGGCTAATAGATTCCCAGAAGTACAGTGTGGCTTCTCTCTCCATCCAAATCTGTCCCGGAAAGCCAGATCTAATTATCCACCGTGGAATTTGGCCAGTTACACTGAGATTATGATAGTTGAGAAATTTGAACTTTAGCCTCACATAAACAAAAGCACAGGACTGGGCCACTCCCTGTGGCTTCTGGGTATTTTTGAATTTTTTGTCAAAAGGAAACAGTTGCTTTGGAGTCTGAGTTTTCTTCTCCAGAGAGAAACGTTAAGTCAAATTGGTTCAGTTTTTGAATGTAAACTGTCTTCAAATATCTTCCTTAAAATAATTTAAATTTAGTGAGAAATATCTGGAATCTAAATAAAATGCAGCACCCTTTATTAATCATCAAAAAATAATGTTAAGCACAAAGAAAGATACAAAATGAGTAAGATACAGTCTTTGATGCTGCCTTTTTCAGGCAGATTTCAAGAGAAGTAGTTTAAAGCCCTAAGAAAATGTTCTTCTTCACTCAGCAATAGATGCAGAAAGGTTAAGTCTTTCAAATTTACAATAGAAGGTCACTATGCACATTATCACACGTCTGTGAGGTGGAATTAAACAAGTTTTAATGTTCCTTTTTAAGCGACTTTTCCTGGTAAACAAAAATTGTCTCAGGGTTACACTTACGTGATATTCTCAAGCTTTGTGGGTACAGCTGGCCAAAGTCCTCTCCATAAACAAACTAGAGGTTCATGGGCGTTTTCTTCACTTTGGAAAATGGTTCATAGTAGGATCCCAACAGCTAGACAATTTCCAGTGTGCATTCCACTTTTACTCGCCCTATATACAATTTCTCAGGATCATCCTGTTGAAGAGGTTCAGGTACACATGTAACGTTGGGTCTCCTCACCACCTCAGAGCAGACTCATGGCGTTTAATTTTCTCTCCTTTCCTTTCCTCCCATTAAATCCCGTTCCTCTTTTGCACTGACAGGCATTGCTTTGCAACATGCCTTCTCCTTATCTCTGTTTTATCTCTTATACCATCAACCTCTCTGGTACATTTGTTTTGTGTTTTCATGGGAATTTCTGCCTTGGCAGAGAGTTATTTAGTGAGAGGGAGGGAGTGGTACGAAACCCACAGCAGCGATTAAGAAAAGTCAGAGAAAGCAAAGCTCATTCTATGGGCAGTGAAAAATGATAGAAGGAATGCTGAATGGAAATCAGACAACCAAGGGACTGGTTCTGGCACCAAGGATCACCTTGTGACCTTGGAATTCAGGGAACTTCTTGAGCATTTCAGTTTCCTTATCTACATAATTAGCGTACTAATACTGGTCCTGTCCACTAAACAGAAACGACAAGACAATTGAACCAGACTGCAGGATAGTTTTATGTTGCATTAATTTACAAATTGTATCTCTCTGTATCACATGAGATGTGGTTGTTGATGATGTTAGAGGCTCTGCTGCAAAGGAGACACTCACACATGCCAACTGTCCCCAGCCTTCTTGCCCAGACTGGACTAACTCAGGGATAGGTAGGAGTTCATTCTTCAGGGTACAAGAAATCCATACAAATGAACAATCTTACCATTTTTAGTATACTCTGTCTAGTTGGTTGGCTTCATAAAGCTTCTCCCAACCTGCTTTATTGACAGTCTGATACTGGCCATGATCTCCTTTTCAACCCATAAGCACTGCCCATACCCCAGCTGCAGTCTGGTTGCTTGTGAGCATCTGGATCAGACTAGAATTGAATGGGGTGATGTCACTCTGGGGTCGATTGGCTTGGGCTCAGACACTGGCACTATAATGAAAGAGCTGTGACACCTTAAACTTGTTCTTTAATTTCTCTGAGACTCCATTTCCTAATTTGTATAGAGAAGGCACTAATATCTACACTGTAAAGGGATGGGATGAATAAAAAACAATAAAACTTTATTATAATCCAAGAGTTAAAAGTAATATACAACACAAATATGCATATTTAGGATTGTCCATATATTTGAGTTAAGATCTCCTAAAAATAAAATATTTTAAGGGCCAGCCATGTGGCTGAGTGGTTAAGTTCACATTCTCGGCTTCAGCAGCCCAGCATTTGCTGGTTAATACCCTGGGTGCAGATCTACACACTGCTCACCAAGCCATGCTGTGGCAGCATCCCACACAGAAGAACTAGAATGACCTACAATGAGGATATATGTACTGGGGCTTTGGGGAGGGAAAAAAAGAGGAAAATTGGCAACAGACGTTAGGGTCAATCTTCCTAACCAAAAATAAATAAATAAAAAATAAAAGATTTTAAAGAGAGGCAGCTGTGCAATTAAAAATACACTTTGTGGTTTTGTTGAGCTCATAGCTCTTGATTAGATTGTTAAGTCTACACTGGCGCAATAATTAAGCCTAGTAGGAACTTAATTATTTTTTAATAATTAAAGGAGTAAATAATCAAATGAATGGATGAGTGAATTATACTGGTTAGGTTTGGAGAAATATTGAATTTTACGTCTCTCCTCTAGGTGGCGAACTGTTACCTCCTACAACGTAGTATTGCACTTCCTGTCTCTTCCACAATTGACACGAAAATTGTACTAAAAAAATCCATACTTTTGCCTGTCCTCATGAAGAAGTAAACAACCATAAATGCATTTTCTCCCAAAGTTATCTCTTTGTTTTTACATCTTTAAGCTTCTTGTCAAAAAAATTGTTTAGAGAAAATCATTAAGAAATATGATTGTGTAACTACTATAAAGAAATAGAATTGTGCAAGAGACTTTTTCAAAACACTTGTGCAAGGCTGCTTTGAAGACTTTCAATTTTCATGGGCAGCTCTTAGGAAAATGTTCTTTTGCCCAAAGTTCATTATTTTCCTAGGGTATTCATTTTCCCCTAAATATGAAAAAAATAAAAGTAATTCTACTAATCATGATTTTTTTTAACTAAACCTCAAAGACTTTTTTTCCTTCCAGATTCACTGTGACAAGAACAGACAAAACTGAATAAGAGCTGAATGCATTATCCTTTAAATTGAATACAAAAGAACAGTCAAATGAGATAAATTAATCCAAATACCTTGTTTTAATTTTCCTTCAAGCCAGGATATGAGTTCCCTGAATGATTTAAATAATGCCCCCAATCTCCACTTCCCTTTATGATGACACAGTCTATATTTTGTTATACAGGAAATATGACTGGAAAATATTTTAGAGCACCGTGAAAGCTGAAGGGCAAAGCTAAAACCCACCCAAGAGTACACCGAACAGGAACAGCAAGAATTGAAGATGCCTGTCCTGTTTCCAAAGGCAAGGGGAGGAGATGAGTAAAAAGAACAATGACATCTTATGGCCCAAGAGCTAAAATTAAATGCATGTCAACAATTCTTGTTGAAACTAGAAGCCAACGTAGGTTAGGCAAACCAGGTAAAGAGTTCTTTCCTGCCACAACATGCCATGATAATAGTCACCGAACATTGAGACATGGCAAGTGATAGAAGTGAGGTTAACACTAGAAAACCACAGAGGATTCTGAACTGGTGTGGCAGCTCTTCAATTCTATGTTGAAGTATCGTATGAACCTAAAACCCATATTTCCTTTTTATTCCACCCAAAAAGCTGAAAGCCAGTTGTTCAGATATGGGAATCTGAATGAGAATTTATAGCTTATGTATAATTATTTCTCTAACACACATTTCTTGAGTAACCACTCAAGGGCCAGGCCTTGTGGTAGAAGCCTTGAATGAATAAGGCATGGTCCCTACCCTCAAAGCAGCAAGGAAGCCAGACAAGTATGCAAATAATTATATGATAGTAATCAAGGGAGAAGGAGAGAAAGAAAGGAGCTAAGGCCAAATTGGTGTATTGATGTGAGAGTGTGAACGAATCGCCTTTAAATCCCATCCCACAGCTGGGTTGGTGACCAGAATCCAACCACAGTATTTGTCTTTGCTGGATTCAAATGAAACCTACACTGCTGACTCTGATGCAGCTAAATCATGGAAATCGATCTGAGGTAGGCATAAACATCTATAATACCTTCCCAAAAGCATTTTGGTCTTGTTTCATAAGATCATTTTCAAAGATATGCAAGAAGACAGGAGTTATGGAAGAAAACACCATCCATTAAATTAATGTATGATTCTTAACTTTGTCATGAGCACACAACTATAAACCTTTTGAATTAAACTAAGACACAAGCTAAACATCCATTAATAGGGGAGTGTAAGTAAATTATAGAATATCTCAAACAGTAATTTTAAAAGAATGAGGCATCTTAGCATAGAAACATCTCCATACGTATAGAAGTGAAAGAAAACAGGCAAGAGGAAAACATTCAGGCTATAAACATGCCTTGTTATTTGATGCAACTTAAACACTTTTTCCCAAGGTTAGGAAAAAGCAGAAAATGGCACAAATAAGTAAAATAGTATGAAATATAGTGTACTCTTTATCACTACTACGTTATACTTCCATAATTATAACGATTTAAGTGAACTTTTTATAAAAAGTTTTGCGGTGTTTGGATTGGTTATTTTACCTCCCAAAAAAATATTTTGTCTTGAAGTGCAGTGTGTGGAGATTTGAACACTGTCCCTAAATATTACTAGTTTGTTTTAGACCCTTTCTCTTTAAATCTTTTCCTTTTGCAAGCTTTATCTTCATGTTTAAAGACTTCAATCTAATTAGCCCATGCACACTATAATTTCATTCTGAAAAGGGAAAAGTGAACTTTGACCCAACTTCTGTTATGAAGTGGATATCCTGCCTTCATATCAGCCCAAAGCTGATCTGATATAATTTTCTTTACTCTTCATTATAAGAAAGGAGAAAGAAAAGGAGAGGAGAGAAAGGGGCTCCAGAAAAGAAAGGAGAAATGGACTGAGCATCTCTTCTACTAGCAGGAATTGAAAGTTGTCTGTTGAGTGTAGCCCTCTCATTTACAGTAAGTAGCCAAATGAGGCCCCGTTCTGTGGCATCTGCTGTATTATAATTGGTACAATTTTCTCCTTAATAAAAAGCATTGTCTTTGAGTAAGTTCCTGTCTACAATGACTCAGGACCCTCAGATGTGATCATAGCCTTCACTCCTTCTAGGGAAATTCATAAAGGTAAAACCAGTCTCATTTTTATAAGCCAAATTCGCCTCTAGAAATGAGGCAGCATGCCACAGAAAGAAAGCCAGTATGGCATGCGCAGGACGTGGGGCTCAGCCATGCAGCTCAAATCAGCCGGTGACCTTTCACAAAGAAGACAAAGGCAAATACATAGAGAAGGAGAAAGCACATTGGTGCCAACATTACACAAGTAGAACAGGTGCATCCACCCCCTCCTGGTGCCATAGCCCAATCTAGACACACCCAGACTTTCTCACTCACAGGGCCACTACGGCTGGTCTGAATTCAAGTCAATAGAAGCTTATTGCCATGGGCATAGGTGAGAGCTATCTGACGCCAATCAATATATGCACCCAGCAAGGAAAATAAAGAAGCATAGTAAACACATGCACTTGTATCTATACAATTCTTTTGAAAAGGACTTGAAGTACAGAAACTAGAACTAAGAGAGAATGGTATTAGCTCAATAAGTATGAAATTAGCACCGACGCGCTCTAAAGCAACTTTCTAATTCCAGTAGAGGAATCTTCAAAGATGAACCAGCAAAACCTACAATGCCAGTTGCCCTCAACAGCTGACTCAGCCAATAAGTTTGTTACATTATTAGTTAGACCACAAACAACCTCCCCCCACCAAAAATCTGAGAGAAATCAAAACAATAATACCGTAATGAGGATAATTAATATAGTTACCATTTATTAAGCACCTATTAGGTGCCAGACAGTTTACTATATTTAGCTACATAGCTGAATCTTCAAAACAGTCTTGGAAAGTAGGTTTTATTGTCCCCATTTTACAGATAAGAAAACTACATCAAATCTAAATTAATTATCTTAGTCAAGAATACCTAGCTAGGAGAGAACAAGTCATGATGAAACTCCAACTGAACCCTTTCCCCTATACCAGGGGTTAGCAAAACTATGATACTTGTGTCAAATCTGTCCCGCCGCCTGCTTTTGTAAATAAAGTGGTATTGGAACTCAGACATTCTCATTCATTTCTGTATTATCTATGGCTGCTTGGTGCTACAACAGCAGAGTTGAATAGTTGTGATAGAAACCACATAGCTCACAAAAGCGAAATAATTTACTATCTGGCCCGTTAGAGAAAAAGCTTGATGAATTCTGCTCTGTAATATGCCATTAAGAATTTTTAAAAGGTTGAGTATAATAAATACTTTCAGAGAGTTATGAAATTTTAAGAAATGTAAGCTCACTGAAATCAATTTCTTTGTTAACAGCTACCTTATGACATTCTGCCACACATAGAGCTTTCGTCCACTCCTTAAAATTCAGTTGGGGAAAGAATATTTGTGCTTCAGAAAACAGGAATCTGAATTTTACTGACTAATTCTTTCATCTCCTCCCCAGTCCTATCTCCAGCTTTTCCTCATCTCAAGTTCTCACAGGACATCTCATCAAACTAGGCACCAAAGAGGGAGAGGAATACAGTGAAAAAGTAATGCTGTAGCTTCATGGAACTTCCATGAAAATTCCATTTTCAGACCCTGACCACCTGCCCCAGGAGGACTCTGAAGGAAACATGCCGGATCTCAGGGTTTACTTAGTTTAGGCTTGTCAGATTGGTGCAAGCCTGGGTGGATGCATTTATAGACTAGAATAACAGAATTTCACTACAGAAGGCACATCAGGTAATAACCAATTGAAATGATTCGGTTTGTCAATCAAAAAAAACAAAAACAAAAACACAAGAACACAGCAAAGTTGGGTGACTTGTCCAGGGTTAAAGAGGTAGCAACAGAGAAGAGGCTTCTCTTATCCATTCTACCAAACATTCCACGGGATCTGGTTCAAGTCCACAACTGTATCCTATTCACCATCTTCTGTGTATTCATTACTCTCATGTCCTTTATCAAGGCCACACTTTTGATGGAAAGAGCACATTTGGGGAATCAGGCAGACTTGGGTTCAATCCCTGCCTTGGTCACTTACTACTTGTGTAAATGTAGAAAGTCAGTGAAC